AAAGGTATAATAATGCTAGATGCAGTAGGTTTGCTCTAAAATATTGCTTTCCTCTAATTAACGTCCTAAGGAACGGCTTAATTAAGATCTAAATATATAACCTTAATTCAAATTCAACTGAAAAACAGAACAGTAGCAATACAAAATCAAAAAGAAATTAAGAATTACAGTACAATAACCATAGAGTAATCACTTCAGCTGAATATAAAATTCATTCCCAATAAATTATTTTTAAATAAATGTATATATTTCTAAACCATGTAGAAATCATCCTAATAACAATAAAAAAGCAACAAATAGAACTCAACTAAAAATAACATGACAGTTATCATTGATACTTTAACAACATAAGCAGGAAGTATAAAATATTTTATGAAATCATGATATTTATACAATTTTCATAAAATCTTAAAAGATTAATGTTTATTTCTGTAACTTGATTCCAGTTTTGCAGAGTCCAAAGAATAAAATTAGCCTTTTAATTCTTCCATTATTATAACTACTTTTTTGGTCCTCATTAGTTATATGGGTGGTAAACCTTTTCGATGAACAATTTAGGGGTTTTTATTTCATATATTTTCTGTGTCATAGATGGAGCAAATATTTAAATATTATAAGAATTATTATAAATATTAATTTTAATCAGAACATATTATAAATACAAATGATTAACTTGTAACAGTATGGAAGACTTGAGAAAATATGTGTAAAATACTAAACATCATGACAATGCACAGTTTCTATCAATGCTTTCTCTTTTACCTCCCTTTAGTTTATCTCAGAACATACCAAAGCCATTTATACTGAGTGGTGGACAGACAAACAATTAGTGATGTGCTCTGATAACATACAAGTGAAGAGGATCATCTTCACTTTAAAAGTATCCATTCCATGATTTTGAATTTCTATAAATTATTTTCCTGCAAGCCACTGTAAATTAAACTGTTTAAAACGTGAAGGTTTCCCACTGCTGGACGGCCCTGGGCTGCAAAACCAGACTCTCCTTCCAGCATGTGACTTGTTCTCAATCCCTACAGTGCTGACCAGAGCCAATGAGCAGCACATTACCCTTCCCTGGAACATTCCACAACCAAGTGATAACTAGAGTAAAAGATGGGTCTTGAAGAATAGTTAGTGAGTGACCATTATAATGCCTTTGTAAAGGAAATTACTAAATTACTAAATTTAAACAGCACAAGTCAAGTTATATGCTTTAACTGAAAACTTACGTATTTAATTGACTTACTTTGAAATGTAGATATCTTAGTGAAATATTATATCACAATATTAAGCATTCTTAATTCATCATTACAAGTCAATTTTTATTTGGTCAAGTATATATACATATATATATACACATATACATAATATGCATATAAATACATTTTTACATAGGACTTATCTCTTACTTATCAATGCTTGTATAATGATGTCAATATACCCTAATTTTCTTTACAATTATATTTAATAATAGAACAAAACCAATGAAGGTTTATCTTTTATTGCTTTACAATGAATTCTATCTTTCAGTAAGTGATAATTTCTACATTTCCACTTTATTTTGTATCTGTAAGAAAGCATCAGTTTTGAAATCATTATTTTTTTTAGGTTAAAACTTACTGAAGTATGCAACTGACATTCATTTCATGGCACAAACTGCCTTTTGTTTATTCTTGGTTTTAAAACTGCTAAGACTCTCCAGCTGGAATGCCACAGGATCCCTTTCAATCTTGGTTATTTATTCCACACGGTATAAAACTTTGAGAAACAGCCCCTTCTCTTGCTGTCCCATGCCTTTCATATCCACTAATTTTTTACCTGATATTAAACATCATTTGCACCACCAAAGAAACAGGAACAAGAAAACCCTTATAGAGATTATAAAAACAAGCAAGAGAGCTGGTTTGCCATACTTTATTTTTGTTATGCCATTGAACAAACAGATTTCTCATTAAGGGTCAAAATCAATGGAGCTGGTGGGAAAGTTGTAAATACTTCATTAATAAGATTAATTAGAGCTTTATGTTAGCTATCCCAGCAAATGATTCAGATGGCTATTGTTAACTGAATTCAAGGAAAAATCATTTTGTTGTCATTTTATCAATATTGGAATGGAAATCTTAATAAAGTTAGATAATTTTAATAATTAACTACTAATATTAATAACATTCAGCTTATCTTAAGGGTTGGAGAAATAAATGATCTATATAGGAAAAAAAGTTTCACATTCAAAGTATCAACCTTCTTTTTTCACTGGAATGACAAAACAGAATATACTTCAAATCAAAGTCATTCCCCTATTAGAAAGGATGACAGTGATCAACAACAGAATCAAAATATGTCAGCATTTTCTCTCAAAATTCCAATCTACCAAAATTCATAAACAACTAGTAATCCTTAACGCTTAAGAGACTGGTAATGCTTTACTTGTCATAATGAAAAAGCAGATTACTTCCATATACTTTACAACTAACCACCCACTGTGTAAAAAGAAATTCCACTTCGTTAAGTATAAGAACAGATATTTTAATTGTCAGTAATAAATACTGTCATCCACAAATGGGCAATTTAAGCACCTTCTGTTTGTGGAAGGTACATAGTGTACTTGGGTGATGACCCATGAAATTAAGATTATTTCCACTCCAAGGTGATGCACAGGACTAACTGAAGAAGCGTTATATCCATATCATGAAAAAGGCCGTGTTCTATTGTTAAAAGTTTAATGGCAGAAGCTAGTTTATTAGTAAGCAAAGAATTTAACTATATTGAATTTCATCAATGTTCTGGAGAGGATATTTTGCTTTACTGTTAAGAAAGATAGTTCTTTTGATCCATATTAAGATATGACCCATGCGCACACTGCATATTAAGTAAAACATAGATGTGGTGTGTGTGTGTCTGTGTTTGTGTGTGTGTGTATACACGTATAACTCCACTATATGGTGTTTCCGAATGAAAGAGAGCTTTTAGCAACAAATTGTTACCACCAGACTGTGAAACTGAACGACCTCCTTAGTAACTGAAGACCCCACACAGCACCTTAGCAACAGGGCAGGAGACACAGAGACTTTACCTTTCTGCGTGGCAAAAAAAGCTGTTGCGAAGCAAAAATTACAAGCAAAAATACAGAAAACTGTAACTTGGTTTTTGAGAACCACTTCACAAGTTTCACGATTTAATCGGCCCAGTTCACTTTAATATAGACAGACAAACTCCAGGAGAAGCAAACACGTCTCTAAGACTAAACCTGTACTATATGTATATCTCCTTTCAGGAATAAGCAGTTACCGCTCATTGTAACCTCTAGATCAGCCGAGAGGAGCTATTTCTTCCTTTTGACCTCTCATCCTGCTTTTTCACTTTATTTTGCATTTCACTCGTGTCATCGGTCGCGCTCTTAAAAAGACTACTTGCTTAAATTAAATCCCAAAGTCTCTAGGGGCTTGTAATCTCAGCTCTGCAAAGACCTGGGAGCTGAAGGAAAATCCGGCACGCCTGCCTGCGGTGGCCCTCCAGACTCCTGCCCCTCCGGGATCCTTCTCTGCGCAGCACTTACCTGCGGCTCCCCGGACTCAGGGGATTTCACGAGGTGCTTCTCCTTGTATAGAGACCAGAGGCCGATATTGGGCAGGAAAATTAAAGCCACCATGAATAACAAAGTCATCTGCAGAAATCTCTTCTGTTTCCTCTTCATCGCAAATGGTAACGGAGAAGAAAAGTTACAGGAGATGGTTCCCTGCCCAACTCTCGTTGTTTGAAGCCAAAGCACCAGAAATTGAGGAGAAGCTAAAAACTTTTTGCTGCGTGCTCAGCACCAAGGTGCACGATTGAAGGGGAGTTGGGCATCGGCAGAAGCAACGCAAAGTTAGTTTCCCCCCAGAAAACTATGACGAAGGCATTAGCTATTGGCTCAGAAGTCAATGACTCCACTGAGGAAATCATTAAGTCTATCGACCTCCAGTAAAAAGCCACGGAGTAAATATGATCCTTCCAAAGACTAATCGTAAGTTATGCAAAAGTCAATAGCATGCTGGATACTTAAGAAAACGGGAGGTTTGGGGGTTCCCCCTCGGCGTGGGAGGGCTGGGCTGCTCAGGAGAGGGCGGGCAGGAGGTCTGCGTGGGAAGCTGCTCGGCCCTAGCAAGTGGCAGGAAGAAAAGTGCTGGCTCTCGACCCCAGCGCATCACCTTTCTCGTCTTCCCAGGACGTCTCCTCCTGCGCTCGCCCTGGGAGAAGCCACCTAAACTCAAGTTCAAGTCCCTCGGTGGCCAGCGCGCCGGCAGGTTCCCGGGGGTCCGGGAGACGCGGTGTCCCGGGCAGAAGTGTTATTTGGAGAGAGGTCCGAGAACTCCCCAGCGCTCACGCGCCGCGCCGACCCTCGTCGGCGGGCAACGGCTTGGCGACCCAGGTGCCCGGGGGCAGGAGGCTCCGGAGGTCGGCGGAGGCGCCGCGCCGTCTGTGCTCGCGCGGCGCCCGGGCTGCGGTCCTCCGCCAAGTGCGGGCCCTGCCCATCAATCGCTCCTCTTCCTCGGCGACGCTCTCACGCCCTGGCGCTCCCCTTAGCATCCTCTCCCCGCGACGGAACGAGCCCAGAGGAGCATCGCCGCACTTGGAAGGCGAAGCTCGCACGCTCCCCGCGCCGAGGAGGGAGGGTGGCGCCCGAGCCGAGCCAGGCTCTTGGGGCGCGCGCGCGGAGGGCGAGGTGGCAGAGGCGCGCGCTGCTCCCGCCGCCGTCGCCCGGTGCCCGCCTGCGCGGAGACGAGGCTGTGCCGGCCACGTGCGGGAGCCCGGGCGGGCGGGGAGACAGTCCCCCGCCGCCAGCTCCTATATAAGCTCGCCGTGACGCGAGAAAGCGGAGCAGGGCGACGCCGCCGCCGGACCCGGACTCCAGCCTCTCGCCTGCGAGGTCTCCTCTCTCCACCCCGGCCGTTCGCGCGACCTCGGACCCCTCGGGAGGCCGGCGCCCCAGCTCGTCTCACCCCAAAGTCGCCAGACCGGAGATGCGGGGGGCGGGGTGCCGGCTGGTCGCGGGGATTCCGCGGGCTCCTCCGTGGTGCCGGCAGGCGCGGAGGCGAACGGAGCCCGGCGATCCTGACCCGGGGCTCCCAGGCCGCCCGACCAGGTGCGCGACGAACCCGGGGAGGGCCGGGACCGCGACGCGAGGCCGGGCGGATGCTGGGGCTCTCGGCCTCGGCTTCGGGAGCTACACCGTGGAGCCCCGGCGGCTTACCTGCGTCGGCCGGCGCCCGGGCCGGGTGAGATCGCGTGGCCGCCGCCTCCCCGCCCCGCTTGTTCGCGCGCAGCGCTCGGGGTCGCGGCGAGGCCACCTGCCCTCGCACGCCCCTCCCGCGGTCCCCAGGCCGAGTGGGGGTCGAGCCTGGTCTCGGCGGGAAGGCCTCCCCCTTCTCCCCGGCGCCGGCATGCGCCACCGGCCCTGACCGCACACGCACGAACCTGTGGCCGCGTCTCCAGGGAACCTGCGCGCCTGGCACGGAGTGGGGGCACTCCCGGGATCCGGGGCTCCTAACTCCCGGAGGAAGGGAGAGTTGGAGGAGGCGACAGACAGACACGCAGCACGCGCTGTGTCGGCCTGTCTAGAATCGAAAGGAACTCCATGGTCACCTCTTTGTTACAGCTGGAGGTGATGCCCACAAGCTTTGGAGGATAGGACGCGGGCCCAGGAGGGTCCTTTCTCCATCTCTCCTTTCCGCCCTCTCTCTTACACCCCACTCCCGCTCCAGGTCCCCTCCCTCCCTCTGCTGCCCACTTCCCTCTCTCTCCTGTCTCACCTGGTGGAGACATAGATGTGTATGAGTGTGAAACACATGCTTTCAGCTCCTTGCGTTATAATTTTAAAAATGTATCTGAACAGTACATACTGACTGACCACATGAGTAAAGTTCTTTGCTGCAATATTTACTTCTGTGAATTACTTGCATTTCAAGAGTATGTAAACATATTTAATAAGTAATGTCTGAATACGTCATTCACGTAAAGACCGATTACCATTTCGTTTTACACAAGTGCAACTTCGGAATCTGGAGAAGACGGGACATAATTCTTCACCACCCCCACCCCCCACACACACACACTTATACACATACATATTCACACTTACTCTCTCTCTTCTATACCCTGCATCATTTTCTAATCTTTATTTCTCTTAGCAAGTGCCAGTCTGAAGCATAGAAATATGAATTCTGGGAAGCAACAAAAAACAGGCAGAGGTTTGCTGGGATTGATGGATCCTGAAGGAAAAGATTTTGGAGAACTATTAATATTTAAATACATAATATGTTCTGTCTTGCAGATAGAGATATTAACAATTAAAAAAGTAAAAAAAAAAACAACTCAGATACCTTTGAAATTAAAAAAAAAAATTAAAAATCCTTCATATTTTAAATAATGCCAGTTTTTTTGTGCCGTAAAAAAAGTGAACAAGTCCTGATCACAAATAGATATATCATCATTCTGTTTTCTAAATCCAGGATTCTGACTTGAACCATGCCTCATTATTGTTATTCAAGTGAACTGTCCAGCAAACAGTACTTAATCTGGGAACCATGGTTAGTCACAGTGAATGGGTGTACCTGCTCCTCCCTACATGAAGTACATGCAGAGCCCATGGCATTATTATGCATTTACAGCATAGCTCTAGGCAATCAGCGACCCCCCCTCCATTTTACTTATTCATTTACTTACTTACTTAGTTATCATCTCTTTTGCAATTCCACATGTAAATTTCTAACAGATGACAATGTCCTTAACTAAAATTGGTATTTATTTTAACTTGTTTACAAACAAAAAAAAAACTTTATGTGACTCTGAATTCCTTTGTTCAGATAATCCAGACTAAATATATATATATATGTAAACAGATGTATTTTAATTGGTTATTAATATTAATCTAATCAAATTCCCTGTCTTTAAATTCCTCTTTAAATCCAAAGACACCCCCTGAGAGCCCTCTTGCTCCTTCATTATGTTATGACTCAATCTGGAACCTCAGGTAATCAGAGCCCCATGTGCCCAGCACTGTGTTAATATTACTGGGACACATGGGAAAAAAATAAAACAATAACTGGAACCTTGAATAACTTACGTTCTAGGGGAAAATACAATATAAAGGCAACTGGAGAAATACAGAAGCTCAGCTGTTTGTGTTAACCTTCTGTTGAGCCAGGTTCTGCCTTGGAAGAGGCAGAACATTGCTTCCTTTACGCTATGCTGTAAACTTTGGTGACTTAAAACAGCTATAATACTCAGGATTCCATGCATTTGGATAGGCTCCACTTGTGGTTCTGCTTTCTCCGGTGTGGATGTGGGCTGGGGCTGGATTTGACCCCTACCTGGCTGGCGGATCACCTGGGGGCTGTCAGTTGTAACTGAACGTGAGAAAAATATTTGCTCATCATTTTGCCATATGAATATTTCCCCTCCCAATTTACTAGTTTAAAGCTTTATATCTGAAACTGATAAGTCTGGTGAAAGTCAGTTGTTCAAAAGATAGTCACAAACAGTCTTCTGGGGTTGTGTTCTTACCTGAACTTTACAGCGTCACAAAATAATAAGCTTTATTAATAAATAAAATAACCAATGTTATAATGCTGTAAGAGAAGATTAAAAAGTAATTGATTTTTAAGATTATACTATGGTACATTATCTACATTTTTAAATAGTAATATTGAAATTTATCATTGAAACAGCTTATACTTAGTTTTACCTTCTATGTAAATATGGTAGGGTTTACTTTTACTTAGATTTGACTTTTTCCAAGTTTTTATCAGAATCACAGATACTAGAGCATAAAGGTAATATATCTAGAAATGGAAATATATTCTGTTCTTCTTTAACCCAATAACAATACCTGGAGTGTAAAAATACTGAAATTGTTCCCTCGGAATAAACAGGGTACTTTGTTATAAGTATACTTTTAGCTAAGTTGTTTCTTGTTGGGAGGGGGTGATCCTCCAGTGAAAATTGGGAATTGGTTATATTAATAATATGATAAAAGTAAATTTAAGTTATGCTATTCATTTTTGTGTCATTAAGTTAAGACACGGGTTAATCTTCTTCAATCGTTTTTTCTGAAATTACAATGTGTGCCACTACACAATAAAGAGAAATAAGAGCCAAGTATAATTTTAAAATGTGATATTTCCCTGTCACTATCATCACTGAAATTCTTCACCAAAAAACCCAAGTCAATTTCTATATATATGCAAATGCTGCTGGGTAGAAGTTATAATGCTGAACAGTCTCACAGAATTTTCCGTACAAGGGTCTTACAAAGTGTTTGCAATTAAATGTGGTGCAAATTAAAAAGTGACAATTGCTAACTAAAATAAAAAGGAGGTCATTTCTTCTTGGCCTAAATATTTTCAAACTAGAGAAGTTCTTCACTTTGTGACAGTTAAGTTCTTAGTCAGCAAGTCTACCTCTAAATATTGTTATCCCTCTACTAACAGAATATATCTTTACTCAACTATATTTTTTTTTCCCTATACATTTAATTCCCTGGTAGCTCAGACAGTCAAGAATGCTCCTGCAATGCAGGAGATCAGGATTCGACGCTGGGTTAGGAAGATCCCCTGGAAAAGGAAATGGCAACCCATTCTAGTAATCTTGCTTGGGAATTCCCATGGACAGAGGAGCCTGGAGGGCTACAGTCCATGGGGTCACAAAGAGTCAGACAAGACTGAGTGAGCACTCACAAGTGCTCTAAAATATTCTGTGTTTTGATGAGACTACTATGAAGTTTAGCCTAAGTAAAATATCACCAACAGACTTGATTTGGGACGATTGCTCTTCTTGGTCTTGGGAAGTAGACTGTTGAATTAAATGCAGTTCTTTTTGTGATTTACTAAGAAACTAGGAATATTATGAAAAAGATTAACTCATGAATGAGATCCCATTCTTGGTAGGCTTATGTGGATTCTCTTTTGCCTATATGAATGAAACTTTATATTAGAAAATTTCTTAATATTTCAGTAAATATCTTCATCTGAGCTCAGTATACTAAGCAAAAAATTGAGTACTTTATATAAACAGATTTTTAACCTTCTGTAAAATAGTCATAATTCTGATTAAAAATCCTAGGTTATATTCTTTTTAAAAATAATATTTTCTCTTTATAATATGATTAAGTAAGCTTTTAAATAAATATTTCCCATTCCATAATGAGAACTTCAAAAGTAGTTTCAGGAAAGAAAATTGGACATTTATGAAACAGGAATCATAAATATTTGCATCTATCAATCAAATAGATAACTCAATAGAAATATATACAGATAAATGGATATTTTGATAATGAGGATTTAAAAACTACTAGTTTTTTCAACCAAGGCTTCATTGAGAATTGCATGCAAGGATTCAAAGACTGAATTTGTCCATTGCAATTCATGAAAAACATCAAAATAGGAGGATTATGTCATTAAACTACTAAGGAGGAGAATGCAAATAGATGCTAAAACCTGTACTCACTATACACTAAGACATGCCCCCTTTATCCTTAGTCAGTAGCGGAACTCATCAAAATAAAATAAGAGGATTTCTCACTAATAAGTTTTCTCTAATACCTAAAGTGACAGTGTTAGTTATTCAGTCGTGCTCGGCTCTTTGTGACCCCATGGACATAGCCCACCAGGTTCCTCTGGCTATGGGATTCTCCAGGTAAGAATACTGGAGTGGGTAGCTATTCCTTTCTCCAGGGGATCTTCCCAACGAAGGGATCGAACCCAGGTCTCCTGCATTAGAGGCAGATTCTTTACCATCTGAGCCACTAGGGAAACCCTCTAATACCTAAACTTTAAACAAATTAATTTTTTAATAAAATATCCACCCTTTTATCTTTTGTCTGAAATGAAAATACTCATTTAAAAATATTAAATCTGTATATATGTTTGCAAACATTTGTACAATTTTAGCATTGCAGATCCAAATTCTCTTTGGTACTTGAAAATATGGTATGTTTCTAAAATAGTGGCTACTTTTCTATCCTAATCATCCAGGAAATCAAAGCCAATAAAATATTTTATCCCTAACATGCTATAAATGGTCGATACATATTTTTTGAATGAATAAATATATAAATAAATGTGTATCTGAACATTATCATTGCCTGTGGAGAATTTAGTTCAGTTCAGTCAATCAATCGTGTCTGACTCTTTGTGACCCCATGGATGCAGCATGCCAGGCATAATCATGTTGAAAATTCTTCAAATATTTTATATCTAAAATACGATCCTACAGCTTGCACCAAAACTATATACTCAAATACCTTGTCAAAGTCTTGCTGAAAGACTTGCAATATCAGTATGACCCATGTCCTATATACCAACCTCATCCCATACAATTAAGCTGCAAAATTGCTCATTGTATTGAAATAAAATCAATCTCCCTGGACACCAGTCCTGGTTCTATGCTAGTATCCACCCAG